CTGAGCGTTCATTAGTATGGATGTACATGTAACAGGTGAGAGCGTTCATTAGTATTGATGTACATGTAACAGGTCTGAGCGTTCATGTACATATACTATGTCATTTAAAGGTTCATTTAAACGTGCATTTTAAAGAGCACTACCACACTCCCTCACTCACTCCCTTTCCGCAGAGACAGCAAATGGGCTGTGCCAGCGACTGACTGACCCCTGCAGGCGCATGCAGCCGCGACAGCCGTGGGCTCAGGATGCCTGGGAGATCCCGAGAGAGACACTGAAGATGTTGAAGAAGCTCGGGTCGGGCCAGTTTGGAGAGGTGTGGATGGGTAAGAGAGGTCGGCATCTTCATGATTGGCTCCTACAGCCCAGAGCTAGACCAGCTTGGAGAAGGCGCCAAACATACACGTAATCACCCCCCCCCACCAAATCAATTCTATATTTGGTTTACCTGAGTGTCCATCTTCCTTGTAGGCTACTATAAGAACTCCCAAAAGGTGGCCATCAAGATGCTGAAAGAGGGCAGTATGGAGCCAGAGGCCTTCCTGCAGGAGGCCAACCTGATGAAGAAGCTACAACACGAGAGGCTGGTACGCCTGTATGCCGTCGTCACCAAAGAGCCCATCCTCATCATCACAGAGTACATGAGCAACGGTGAGGCCCCCGTCACCCGGCAGTGTTACATAACCCCTGCTTTTGGACTAAGCGTTCGCGTCTTCATGCTTGTCTGATTGATTTATGCTGTGGCCCAGATTGTATGCTGATATTATCTTACGTAATTCTGAGAAAAGAGGTCACATATACATTTCAGCATTAAAAATTGAACATAGCAGCATGTATTCTGGGTCTTCACAATACGCCACCGAGGGAACATGTATTTGCTGGCGTTCAGTCAATCTTCTGGGCAGGGGCGCCGTAAGGGGGAGGAAAGCTAGGACGATTCCAAGGGCCCCTGAGCGACAGGAGCCCTAAAAAATTAGGAAAATAACTGGATTGGTTTGGACTGGGGGGCCTAATATGATATGCTTTCATGGGGCCCAAAATCTCTAGCAACGCCCCTGCTTCTGGGTAACACTTTACATTAACTGCACCTTCATAATGCATTCATTATGCATTCATAGAACATTCAGTGCACCTTCCTAATGCATTCATAGACCATTCATAAGCAATATAGAAGAATACCTTCCTGACATACCTTAACAGTTTTAATAATGTACTTATTATAATCAGATAATGTTTGTTATTAATGTATATTAAAGCTGTTAAGGTATGTTAGAATGTTAAGGTATACTTCTATATTGCTTATGAATGGTCTATGAATGCATTATGAAGGTGCACTGAATGTTCTACTACTGCATTATAAAGGCATAAAGTTAATGTAAAGTATTACCATCTATTGTTCATCAATGTATATTTAATTAGGGTCACATAGCTATTCACAAACATGCAACACACGTAACATAATTCTCTTAGATTGAGTCATTGAAATCACTCAATTTATTTTAGAGTTAAATATTGTTGTATATCAATGATTATTTAAGAGGGCTTACTAAACAAATGAGAAACAGTTTAGATATAACTAAATCTATTATCTAGAAAACATTGAACTTCAGCAATACATTTAACCTACTGTGGCTTATTTCCTAAAACAAAACAAGATTAGGTACGATCTTTGTTCTCCAGCTGTCCAGACAAACAGTCACAGATGTAGCACAGTTATAAATAACAATGAATTTGTCTGGCAAGAAAACAACGCCTTTTGTGTTACTGGGTTCAGATGAGTCTCCCTAGTTAAGACAAGCCATAGAGACAATTAAATTGCCCTTTCTCTCTCTCTGATGGCTGTGAGGTCATTTTTAGCTGTGGTTTTTTGTGTTTCAAAGGAAGTTTACTTGACTTCTTAAAAACCGAAGATGGAAAACGCCTGAAGTATCCTAAACTTATAGATATGTCAGCACAGGTAAGGAAAACTTTTTGTTGAAGATAGTAACAGTGAATTTCAGCTCGTTTCAACTTTGTTCATTTTTATGATTCTGATTATTATAATTTTCCACAGTAATGTGGTCAAGCTATGTGCCTCATGTGTGAAAACTTTAGCGTCCTTCTCGTATTAACATCCGGACAGGATGTGATGTATTTTTTTCCACTTGCCTTTTGGCATGCCCTTGAGACGACATAAACTGCATTTCCTGAAAGAGTATGCATCCTGTTTAAACCACTTTTGATGTTGCAACATCAATTCACCCCCCCCCCCACCCCTCTTAACAACCTCTCTTGGTATTTTTTCTTTTTGCATTGGAACCCACAAACTGGCATTTTGACACTTTAAAAAGGTGCCTGAATAGCAGGTTTGCTATGCTACCCTTACTCTGTCCCTCCTTTGCAGATTGCGGAAGGCATGGCTTACATAGAGAAGAAAAACTACATTCACAGGGATCTCAGGGCGGCCAACATCCTGGTGTCGGAGACTCTGCACTGCAAGGTTGCGGATTTTGGTCTGGCTAGGATTATCGAGACAGAGTACACGGCACAGGAAGGTGGGACTACGCACGCACGCACACGCACACACACACACACGCACACACACACGCACGCACACACAAGCATGCACGCACGCACACACTATACCCATTAATGCATTTAATCTAATCAAAAGTGCTTTTAACATCACAATACATTTTCTGTACACAGCACAGCTTGCATCCGAAGCATATCCTGTGTTTAAAGTTATTTTTAAGCTATTAATAAAATACTACTTACTTAATTTTTACATTAATTGCTCTTTACATACATTTATTAAGATTTCACTTTTTAATGGTTAAGTACCAATTACTGTGTCAGTTTATTAGGCCCAAAGTTAAGAACACACAAGTGACTTCATCAAGTCTAGGACAGTGTAGGCTGCACCTTTGTTTTAGAATGAAGAATGAGCCGTGGGAAGGTACTGTAGGTGTTGTGTTTCATCCTGGGGATACTGATGCCATGTTGAATTCACAGGGGCGAAATTTCCAATCAAATGGACTGCACCAGAAGCAATCAACTTTGGGACTTTCAGCATCAAGACAGACATCTGGTCTTTCGGTATTCTCCTTACGGAAATCATCACATATGGGAGGACGCCCTATCCAGGTACAAATGAAGGGGGGCATGCATCTCAGATTAAGTCACTTACCCTTTCATTAATGTTTCGAGAAACCATTCTGAGAAAAGTCATATGACTTGTACGGCTATATTCTGAATGAAGACAGGAGAGAGCATCAAGTTTATTCAATGTCAGATTTATAAGCTGCTCCCATGTGAGGGGAATGATGTTGACTGTGTCATGAAAATTGTGATTTCGACAAGGGTCTAATCATTATGTTCAGAAGACGTGGTCAGAGCATCTCAGGGCAAACTCACCCTTGTCCTGGTTACCTCATACCGTGCCTGAGCACAATCGTCCCCCCTCCCCACTCCGTACAGTATGGCATATCTGGAGTAGCTTCATGTGTGATGATACACGGCCCAGAGGTTTATTAAGTATGCAGCACAGTGATTTTCATTTAATCACGCTGCATGTACTGTATAACGACAGTCCCCATATTTTGCCAAGTATCTCAGAGTTTTTGTGTGTTGCATGCAGTTGTTCCTGGATACTCTTATCAGCCCAGACTTCCTGCAAACGCTGCACCTCTGCTGTAGACGAAAGTGATATCCTTCTGCCGCAATGTTTGCTAAATGTTTGTGGCTACCCGATCTGTACAGCTCCTTCCTGGTCCAGTTCACATACAGTTAGTGATCACACTGGATGTGTTCTGTGCCATAGTCCAACTGATGCACCACACATCAAATCAAAACTAGTCAAACAAACTAGACTTTGGGGGTCAAATGTGCTCAGGCACGGTACGGATCACCTAGTGTGGGTACATCCTCGAAACTGTATGGCATGTGGGGTGCTGAGTACCTGCTGAGTAGTGGTCTGATGTGTTGGGTGGCCAAGGCACATCAATGCGAGATGTGAACACAGTGTTATCACATCTGGTGCATAGCAAGAGAAGGGCCACACTTAAAGATCGTATAATGTAGTAATGTGATGTGATACACGGCGCATGGCGTGTATGGGGCTGTATAGCAGCTGTCTGGGCAGAGGGCCCATGCTGACCCCTGTCCACCATCAAAAGCACCTACAATGGGCATGTGAAAGTTGGAGCTGAACCTTGGAGAAATGGAAGAAGATCACTTGGTCATTTCCTCTTGCCGGGCAACCAAGTAGGTGTCAAGCTTCTGTATGATACCTTGGACTAGCAAGTCCAATCTGCAGCTACACAGCCCCATACTCAGCAGAGCTCAACGTGCTTTGTGTTCTGACAATGCTCCTGTGAGCATCACTAAAATGATCTGCCATTTGTGCCACAGTAGCCCTCCTGTTGGTCTGTACCAGACAGGACAGTCTACCCTCACATCTTACTTTGATAAGTTTTCAGCCACCCAACACCCTGTCTGGCAGCTTGTGGTCTTTCCCTCCTCGGATCTCTCTCAGTAGGCACTCACCATGGCTGACCGTGAGCCCCCCACCAGCCTTGCCATTTCAGAGACGCTCTGACCCAGTTGTCAGGCCATAACAATGTGGTCCCTATCAAAGTCACTCAGAGCTTTATCTCTGTCCATTTCTTCTGCATTCTACATGTGGAATACAAGTAATGAATGTAGGCTTACTGTCTAATATATCCCCTGACCTTTACATGTGCTGTTTTTACAAAACAGTTAATTTTGTTTCATGCAGGGGTGGTCATGACATTTTGGCTCATCAGTGAATAACTTGATAAAATTAAGGAGGTTAATAACAAGAATCTTGACATAAATGAAAGTATACTATTTCACATATAAAGAAATGTCTTGGATTGTGACAAATTGATGTTTATAAAATATTTGCCTAACCAAGTTCCTGCTCTGATGTAAGTATTAAAATGATTTGTAGGAGACACAAAGCTCTTTATAAAGGCCTTGCTGTTAAACGCATCATCATTAATATCATACTCCCACTTATAACCCTCTATCAAAACAGATACCTATTCAGTGAACCGCAGAGTTAATTTTCTGTCCTAATATGGCATATATTTAGAAAGATGATTATAATATCAACTATTGATGATTTTTGTGTAGCGTGCACTGATTTAATGACTCACATTTATCAAGAGATTTACAAGACACAGGTTTATGAAGCTGAAAGGAAATCCGGTTTTTCATTTTGAAATAGGCATGACCAACCCAGAGGTGATACGACTCCTGGACAAGAAGTACAGGATGCCGTGTCCCGATGCGTGTCCGCAGGAGCTCTACCAGATCATGCTGAAATGCTGGCAGGAGAGGCCCGAGGATCGGCCCACCTTCGATTACCTGCAGTACACCCTCAATGACTTTTTCATCGCCACCGAGGGCCAGTACGAGATGCAGCCCTAACCCTGGCTGACGGAGCAAGCAGACATTGTCCCCCTGTTACACATGGAACGAATCGGCGGTGGAGATTGGGTGGTCACAAGGGTTTCAAAGCAGGATTGGAGAGTGCGAGAAGGCCAAAGACAACTCAAAACACCACCCTGAATGTCAATTAATAAGATATTATGATGGAGTCTGCAATGCCAAATCATTTCTTACGGGAAATGCTGCCTCTCTGTGTGAAAGCGTCCTCTGTGACTCACCGTTTGGGGAAAAAACATTGTCCCTTTACTGACATTCTGCAGAATGCTGTGTATTACGTGTGGCCTTAGAAAAACTACATCTGCACTGATATTTATTGGACCAAAAAGCTGGAGAGGATAGGGAGATCCTTATTTACAAGTGTGGATTTCTTCTTTTTGTTTGTTTCCAGAGACTCCAGGGAACAAAAATACTCAGGTATGTAACTAACACACGTTGGAGTGTATAGAACATTTCTGTGAATATAGTAAGAGACTGATCCTTAAATTTAGAATAGATCATGACCCTAAAAATGATCCCCTGTGACACATCAAGGAAAAGTTAAACATATAGCACTTTGAAAAGAATCCTATTAGAACAATGTATTTAAATAAATTTTTGAACTCTTTCACTGAACGCCTCTGAGTTTCTGGATCAGCTGCTGTAATCTTATACCCCTGGGGGTGTCTGAGTTCAGCCCATTGCCTACAATTCAGCCCAGTGAGAGGAAGTCTGCTAATGGTTAGATACAACAAGAACATAATCTTCAACCCAAACGCTCCTGTTTGGTTTTAAAATCTGGGGAATGTGACAGAACAATAATATTTTTAAAAATGCGACTGTTTAATCTCTTTGGCTGCGGTGAGAGGGTCAAATGCTGGATGCTCAGTGGGGAGCAGGGAGCGGACAGGACTGTGTTTATGACTCTGAGGTGGTCACTTCCTGAGGGGTGACGCGTGTGAGATAAGGGGGGGTCCCTATGGAGGGCCACTTCCTGTGCAATGAATTCCCAGAGGCCAATGCGGTGACGAGTGTGACGGCACATTCCTGACATACTCCTGTCCTGTGGCTCATTAAGGACGTCTCCTGCAAAGTAAACTGGAATAAATTGATGGTCCTGCTGTTAATCTTATTACATTGAGTTCCTAAACTTTTTAGGATATAGCTTTTTAAGACATAGCTCAATAATGCTGCTTTATTGAGAGTAGGATAAGGGCATTTATTACGTACAAACTGTATACACGCATGTGCGCGCGCGCACACACACACACACACACACATCTATACACACACACACACTATATATATACTGTATATACACATTACAGTTTTTAACTATGAAATACAGTTTTTAAAAAGACCATTTATCAGCTACCTATATTTTAAAATAAGTGTAAGTGCATACAAGAGGCAACAAAATTTTACGTAAATAATTAAAAATGTTCAGTCTTAGCAGTATAGAAGTACGGCCAAACACAACAGCTTGGATATTTATGCAGGCCTCGAGAGACGCAATTTGGGTTAATTATATACGATACATTCAAAAAGATATATTCCCTTTACTAACTGTTTAGTCTGCAAGGATTCGAACTAAATTAGCATTGGTTTAAAATGTCGATAAAGTAGCAAGGGTTAACCTGCTGCTAAATTAGCCTGGATTAAACATATTGTCATATTAGCATGGACTACACATGCTGCTAAATTAGCATTGATTGAACATATGCTAAAGTGATATATGAATTAAACGTATTGCATCTAAAAGCGCTGTATCAACTCAGCTGCCTGTGGCTGGAGCGAGACCCACCCTTAAAATTAATCCTGAGTTTGAGAGGAAGGGGAAACCTGTTCCTGAATACAAAAAATGTAGCGTTTTAGCAATGCTGATTGATTAAAGTGGTACGAAAGAAAAAGACAAATTATTCCAAAGACAAAAAGACTCAAGAAATCGAATTTTCACGTCACATTGCCTTGTAATATTTGGATGTGTCCCGTTAAGTATACTGTAACTTCGTGCTACTTACTTCATTCGCTCGATTTTAAGGATGACCGCTAGATGTCAGCATATCGTTACTTCACAAACCGGCACTGATGGAATATTTACACCTTACTTATGCTGGGAGTGTGGCGCTGGAATGTCTCTCTTCCAACCAGTATAGCGACTTCTAATTCACAACATAAAAACTTCCAGTCTGACTTCAGGACCTTTATTTTATGAGATTTTGCACAAAAATAATGACCAAACGTGTAGCGTAGTGTATATGGGACCTGTTTACATTTCTGGAAGTTTGTGGGTTTGAATTCTGTGGATGGCACAGTAAACATATTACTGGTGTGCTGTTGAGTACGGCCCTTAACCTCAAATGCTTGCTGACCCTGCTTAAGTTTACCTTATTTGTATATCACTTTGTACAATAGTCCCACCAAAAACAATGGGTAATGTTTTACATTAACTGCACCTTCATAATGCATTCATTTTACATTCATAGAACATTCATAAGCAGCATGCAAGTACACCTTAACATCCTAACATCCCATAACAGCTTTAATATACATTAACAACAAACATTACATGATTATACAATTATAATGTTTGTTATTATTATATAATGTTTGTTATTAATGTATATTGCAGCTGTTAAGGGATGTTTGGACATTAAGGTATACATACATGATGTTTATGAATGTTTTATGAATACTTAATAAATACATTATGAAGGTGTATTGAACGTTTTATGAATGCAATATAAAAGCATTATGAAGGTGCAGTTAATGTAAAGTGTTACCAAACAAGGTCATTGTAAATAAGCTCTATATAAACTGAACTGCCATAGTGGCCAGCACATTATCAGTGTCTTCTGTGGTTGTGGGTTTGAAGCCTGGGCCCCCTGTGCTTGTTCCAGGGCCACCCCGCAAACCAAAACCAACCTGGTGTCTTTATATCGGCTCTTGACCTTGAGCTCTTTACGCTACTTGAAAGAAACCGCAACACAACAATCTGTGTATTCCGAATAAGCATGTTTCCGGGAGATCTCACGGTCACCCAGACACTACATCGGGAAGCGAAGGACAAGATGCAGGTTTATCTGAATTGTGTGTCTCTGGAGGAACCCAGCAGCTACATGAGTAGAACATGCAGATTCTGTCCAGTGAGATCCACATGCTATTTTGAAACCTCAGGCCTAGAGGTATGACAGGACAACCACAATCACTCAGCCAGTACAGACACGCCGAGCTGTGAGTATTCTGCACACTGCCTGCACCCTTCCATACTGACCATGGAGACGATTCTTCCCAGAGAATAAACTTAGGTTTCAGTGTCCACATGCTTTCTCATTTGTGTTATCTGCTAACATTCTCCCCAGCTACACAATGCACTCGCAAACATAAAGCACATCTTTTAACTTCCCTTACAGTGAATAAATCTATTAAGAATTGAGTTATCTTTTCAAAATGTTCGCATTATTTATAAAACCCTTCAGATGTTACTTTGAGGATTCAGAAATTCTCAGGTACATTTTGATACATCGTTGCTGGTTAGTACTATTTAGTGTGAAATGGACTAATGATAAATCTAAGTAATCTTAAGTAGCTATTGTTTTTTTAAAATATCTGTTTCAGCTAGGCTGCTGCTAATTAAGTCACACTGGATCCCAGAGTCAGGATATCCTTATCACTTGGCAGGATGTAAGCAATAACTATACCTCAGACGCATCCTAAACTTCACTGTTCTTTAAAAACTCTCCTACCACTGTGCCCTATGCTAACCATTAGCATGCTAACTTCTGTGGAAAATATATTTGGTAAGTGTCCCCCATAGGGGAAATGACTGCAAATGACCAATCAGTTTAATAGATCTGCCACATCAAATTGACTCTGGCAACAAGCTACGAGAGATGTATGACTGCTGGGTGGGTCAGGCGTGAGCATCTGGGGGGTGCAAGAGGAATGTAAAGGGGCTGGGAGCAAAGAACAGGTGAATTGTGTAGGTGCACTTGTCACCTGACACCCCCTGATCTTACAATTACATCCTCCTGCTATATTTTAATATAATATATTTTAGCATCTTAATGTGTATTCAGCAATGATGATGCGTATCTGCAACTCATGGCATCGACAGGCCAATCCACTTCTTATCAAAGCTGTGTTATTCCCCCTGTTTCTACAGTAATAATCTCAGTGCAGAAGAGCCTTATCTGCCAGCTTTAATGCACAACAAGTATCTTGAAAGATGCATCTGCATTTAAAATGTGAAAGACGGCTGCATTTTGACCAACTGAAATTACGAAATTTAATTCTGCTGGCTAAATCATTTTGATTTTTTGTCCTGATGTCTTTGCAGGGCACTGAATGCGTGCCAGAGAGCATTTTACAAGATTAAACTAACTTTTGCTGAGAAATTGTTGAAATATTTAGGTGCTATTTAAAAGGATTATTTAATGAGCCATGCCCTACATCAGCATTTAGGATAAAATGACCAAACCTTACATCTCCATCTATACCCCATTACTGAAAATTTGCTGCCTTTCTTCTGAGAATGTGAACATCGGCTTGACAAAAGATGAAAACATCGTACAATTCCAAAGAGGTGAATTTACTTGTTTTTGACATTAGATAGTTTGTCTTTTGTGAAAACACACATTTGACTCATTAAATATATTAAAAGTGTGGCTTTTCATCTCACATAAGGTAAGAAAAAACTTTATTCATCCAGTTGAAAAGCATTGTGCCAAGCCATAACTCTCACTGTGCAAGACTAAAACAATAAAAAGGACACAATGTAAAATAAAGCATATAAGAACAAAAAAAAGGATAAAAAGATGAAAAAAGGTGTACAGGAGGATTGCAACCATGGATGTAAGTTGAGCATTAAAAGTGAAATACAAAAGCAACTAAAAACTAACTAAAAGCAAACCAAATACAAAAACATGTATATTGTCTAGTTCCTGTGAGGGGTTTTGCCAGTGTCAATACAGACAATTAAAGGTAATCATTCACTTTATGAAAATATATGCAAGTATATCAGATAGGACTTTATATAACTTTATATAACTGCAGATGGTCAAATATGCAGTGTACTGAAGATGACTGGTGTGATAATAAAGGTCTACTTTAGCTCTAATTCGCGTTGCATTGACATGTTCAGAATACTCAACTACCATGACTAACACCAAGATGGCCGTGCGAGGCGATCGCGCAATATATTGTATACCTTCTAAGGCTCCTATACAGGATGCCGTATATAATGTATGCTAATTTGCTACATTATGCATGATGCTTTGGAAAAGCATAATTCACAACAAGCAATTCATCACCAAACCACAGCCACCGCATACGCTACTAAGAAAGGGGAAGCCGCTAACGTGATTTCACGGCAACGTCGGTCTGCTGCCGGCCAGATGATTCATTAGCTGCCTAGCCTTTAAAACAGTTCGGCAGACTTGGTTGACACGACGTGGCAGAGGGGTGAAAGCATTTCACACCTACTATCATGTCTGCCTGACGCTGATGGGATTTGCAAAGGATGATGGATGATGGGGGTGTCAGAGCACAACAACAAATCAGTCAATAAATCAGCAGAGGTTCACGATTTTTAAAAACAGGAAAATAAGGAGAGGGGGCTTTGGTCCTCATTCCAT